TCGCACAGAGCACAACCTGCCCAACGTTTTCATCACAACTTTCAGTTGGCACAATGAATGTCTACTAATTACACATTTCTGGTGGCTGCTCATTCAGGCAAGGGCGTTGCAAGGGCTCTTTGCAGAACTCCTCTTAATGAGGATTAAGACACCGATGTGGTAAACTTAGGGACTTTTTATCTGCTTGCATGTTCTGCCACAGGCATAGAAATTTGCAGGTTTCTAATTTACCCCTGACACACAACTTAGAGTCTAAACACACCACCAGCAAAGAGATTTTGGAATTTAAATGCTTGAGCTGCGAAGACAATTCCCCCCAAACCTGGCACTGCCAGTTGGTTTGGAAGAGCCCCTCGCAGTCACCATACCCCACAAGGCTGGCCTGCTGGCCCCTGATCTCAGAGCACATACCTGGGCGTAAGAGTCAGCATCATCACCCCGATGTAACGGCGCTTTGTCTCGGCGTTACCGAACCAAGAGCCTGCCGATGGAAGGGACATCAAATGGCAGGGCTGCAAACAGACACGCTCAAAACAGCACCGGGCTGAGCCAGGCAGATCACAAAGCACACACACCTCCCAGCAGACATTGCACAGTGGTTCTGATCCCCTACCAACACAAAACGTCAGTTCCTTTAGCAGCTCTACAGGCACTGCACACTTTGCTCTCTTGGTTTGAGTTGTGGTTGTTTGGCCTGAGAGCATCCCTCCATAACATTAACACAGAATCAGATAACAAGAATCTGCATTAAACAAATTATCAAAAACCCTAAGAAAAAAAAAAAAAACAGGCACTGTTCTACAGGACTAAGTTAACCACTTGTCATTTATGATACAGCTGACTTCTGTACTTGTGTTTCTGTTCTTTACCTTGGCAGTACCCACAGGGCTAAGTAGCCTCCAGGGTCCAGCTCATCCTTCCCCTTCTTGAATCTCAAGACACGGTGCGCTCACCTACTCTCTGGGGACTTAGCTGCAAGCTACTTGGGACGCTCTGAAAGTCTTTATCTGCAGCAGCAGCAGGCCAGCATCCTCCTTGGGGCCAGTTATTTCATGCTCTGTGGCCACAGAAGCAGCACACAGCTTTCCCCTGAGAAAAGCACTCACTGCTTCGTGCCAGACGGAATAATCTTACCCCCACACAACACTTCCTCCTGCTACGTGTGCCCTTCTCTCTGAAGAAGTTCTGAGAGTCCAGCTAGGCCAGTGCTTCCTGCTTCCACCCTCCTCCTCCTGCCCTCCTTCCCCCAGCACCTGAACGGGGAGGCACCCCACTCACTTTTGCGCTGTTCCTCCTTCTGCAGGAACTTCCGCAGCCGGTCTGAGGGGATGGCAAAGGAGATGCCTGACGTCACCTTCATGGTGTTCACTCCAATCACTTCTCCATCCTGCAGCGAAAAGGGCACAATGTTCTCCAGCCCTCACCTTTATGGAGAGGAGGGGAAGCAGAACGGCAAACCCAGAGCCCTGCCTGTGCCCCCATCCCTCCCCAGCCTGCCTGAGGCTGGGCAGGGACGGGCCCCAGAGGCTGCAGCCATGCAACCCTCCCCACGCCCTGAGAACATCAGCCATGCTGGCCTCACCACGGCGAGGTTTGGCTCTGCCGTGCAAGTTCCATCGGTGTGGGCTCCCCAGAGCAGCTGCTGAACAGGACCAAGCAGGGCTCCCACCCTAGGCTCATTCCCTGCTCCCTCCTCAGGGAGCCTGGAGCATGCACAGTCCCCTCCTTCCCGACAGCTGCGAGCGCCCGCACAGCGCTGCCACCGAGAGCACCCAGCCCCAGGAGGCAGAGCCCACCAGCATACCCGTGGGAGAACTTACCAAGTTGACGAGGGGACCCCCGGAGTTCCCAAACTGCAGCAGGAGAGAGAGCAGTGAATAGGCCATGAAAGAGACACCCTCAAACAGCCCAACCCTCAGCAAGGAGGCAGAGCCCAGGGAACAGGGGTCGGGCCACGAAACAGCCAGGTCACCAGCCAGAAACCCCCTTCTCCCAGCCCTCCACGCCCAGCTTCCTCGGACCTCACGGCACCCAGAGCCCTTCCCTAGCTCCCCCTTCCCAGGGAGGGCCGTGGGAAGGGGTGCCAGCCGCCGCGTCCCCCCGGCTCCCTTACGTCGATAGCAGCAGTCGGTCTGGATGTACTCCATGTCAGAGGCGGCCAGGCCCAGCTCCCGGCTGCCGCGCTGCGCGGAGCTGACGATGCCGGAGGTGATGGTGTTCTGCAGGGCGAAGGGGCTGCCCATGGCCACCACGAACTCTCCCTGGCGCACCTCGGAGGAGCGGCCGAGGGGCAGGGTGGGCAGCGGGCGCTGGAAGAGAGGGAGAGGGTGAGCGGAGAGCTGCCCAGGGAGCACCCCTGCAGCAGTAACACGCACCTTGGGCTTGATCTTGATGGTGGCGATGTCTGCGACCTGGTCCACGTCCTGCACCACCGCGTCATACTGCTCCCCGCTGGCCAGCTTCACCCGCACGCGCCGCCGGTTTGCCACCACGTGTGCGTTGGTCACAATGAGCCCATCCGGAGACACCAGGAAACCCGAGCCATTGGAGATGGGCACGTCACGGCCCGAAAACGGGTGCCTGCAAGGTGGGCGGAGGTCACGGGGGTTGCAGGGACCCGGAGGGGACCGGTGGGGGCCTGGGGCAGCAGCTGGAGCCCAGGCAGGCCGGGTGCCCGGGGGGCAGCACAATGTGGGGGCTCCTTCACCTCCCCCCGACAGGCACCCATCCCAGGGGTCTGCACAGATGTGCACACAGTGGGGGAACAAGCAGGAGGAGCCACAAAGCCACACGCAATAGCAAAGGCGTAACCCTGTGAGGACCACAGGGACGTGGTGGGAAGCACACCTGACTGGAGAGCTGCACGGGACGGTGCAGGTTCTGTAGGAAAAACAGGCAGGGACTTAGGGAAAGAAGAAACCTGAACACAGAGCTTTGCCTTGGAGCAGGTAAGAACCACCTAGGAGGGGAAGGGTACATCTGTACCCTTTGTTTCTCAGGAATCCCGAATTGCTGTGCCAGGAGGCGGGATCTGTGGGAAGGCAGCGTGACACAGAAGCTCAGGAGGGGACCACTGAGGCCAACGAGACACACACAAGCCCGTGGGACCAGACAGCGTGCGGCAGGCTGACCACAGAGTCACTGAGGTTGAAAAAGACCTCCAAGATCACCCCCTACCACCATCACCCACTAAACTGTGAGAAGCAAAGCTGTGTTTTTGCAGTAGAAATGACCCCTCGGTGTCCCTCAGCACCACATCCAACGCTCCCTTAAACACCCCAGGGACAGTGATGCTGCCATGTCCCTGGGCAACCCGTCCCAACTGCCTGACTGCTCTTTCTGAGAAGAAACGTCTCCTCATTTCCAGCCTGAAGCTCCCCTGGCACAACTTGAGGCCATTCCCTCCCGTTCTATCGCTGTCGATCTGCAAGAAGAGGCCGACCCCCAGCTCCCCGCAACTGTAGTTGTAGAGTGCAGTGAGGTCTCCCCTGAGCCTCCTCCAGACTAAACAACCCCAGTTCCCTCAGCCGCTCCTCATAGGACTTGTGTTCCAGGCCCTTCACCGGACAAATTACTTGGCCTTGATGTCTTTCTTGTAGTGGGGGGCCCGGCACTGAACACAGTACTCGAGGTGCGGCCTCACCACAGCTGAGTACAGGGGGATGATCACCTCCCTGCTCCTGCTGGCTACTCTATTTCTAATACAGGCCAGGATGCCATTGGCCTTGGCCACCTGGGCACACTGCCGGCTCATGGTCAGGTGAGCATTGACCAGCACCCCCAGATCCTTTCCCTCTGCACAGCTTTCCAGCCTCTCTGCCCCCAGCGCTGCATGGGGTTGTTGTGCCCCAAGCGCAGGACCCGGCACTTGGCCTTGCTGAATCTCATCCCTTGACCTCTGCCCATTGACCCCTCCTGCCCAGGTCCCCCTGCAGGGCCTCGCTACCCTCCAGCAGATTGACACATCCCCCAGCTTGGTGTCCCTTTGAGTCTGCTATTGGCACTCTTCAAACAGTCCCAGTGCCTAAGGAAGGCTCCTGAGGGCTGGGAAGAGGGAAACACCACAACAGCCTTCAACAACACCACGACCGAAACGCAGGGGCAGCCAACCTCACCTGTCCGTGGCTTCACCTGAGCGGCTCCTCCGCCCAGCGGCCGTGCCGATGAGGGGACAGCAGCGGACGCCGCCTGCCCTAGCTCCGAGTCGGGTGACGAAGGCCCCCCGAGCCCCCGGCCCTGCGCTCCCGGCCCTGCCTCGAGCAGCCCCCAGCTCCGCGCCCCTCAGAGCCCCCCCCCCCATCCCGGACCTGCCCACGATCTCCACGTAGACCAGGGCCGGCGCCGTTTTCTCCACCACATCGGCGATGAAGTTGAAGGCGGCGCGGGGCGAGGCGGGCGGGGCGGGCACGGCGGCGCTCAGCGCGGGGGGGCGGCCCTCGGCCTGCCGGGCCCACAGCACCGCCAGCGCCGCCGCCCCCGCGCCCAGCGCCGCCGCCAGCGCCTGGCGCCCCACGGGGGGAGGGGGCGGCGGGGGCGGGGGGGGAGGCGGCGGCGGGGGGGTCCCGGCGGCCCCGCGCAGCGCCCGGCCCCAGCGCGCCGCGCCCGCCCACGGCCCGGCCCGCGCCCACCGCGCCAGCGCCGCCATGCTGCCAGCCGCGGGGCGCGCCGGGAGATGTAGTTCTGAGCTCGGCAAGCCTGCAGGGAGGCGCCTTGAGCCGCGGGGCACGCTGGGAGTTGTAGTTCTGACCCTGGCAAGCCTGCAGGGAGGTGCCTTGCGCCGCGGGGCACGCCGGGAGCTGTAGTTCTCGGCCCGGCACGCCTGTCGGCAGGCACCGTTCCACCGCGGGGCACGCTGGGAGTTGTAGTTCTCAGCCCGGCGGGCCTGCCGGCAGAGGTCGTCCTGGCGCGGGGCGCTCCGGTAGCGGCAGCGCGGGTCGGCCCCGAGCGCCGGGACCCCGGCAAAGTGGGGGGGGAGTGTGTGAGGGGGGAAGAGCCGCGGCGCGGTGCACGCCGGGACAGCGCCGCCCCTCCCAGGCTGCCCCGCGCGGGCCGGGCGGGTGGCGGCGGAAGATGGCGGCGGGCGGCGGGCGGCGCTGAGGCCCCGAGCGCGTGGGGATGGAGCCGGGCGCGGCGCCGGGCCCCGAGCGGCTCTTCGACTCGCACCGGTGAGCGCCGGGGGCAGCCGCGTGCCGCTGGGGCTCCGCTGCTGGGGGCCGTGGGGCGCCCCTGGGCAGCCCGGCGGGAAGGGGCGGCCCGGGGGGCGGGGACCGGGCCGGGCCGGGGGTCTCGCTGGGCCCCGTACGGTGCGCCCCGAGGTGGGCGGCCGGGGGCGAAGCCGGGAGCGAGGCCGGAGGTGAGGCCGGGGGTGCCGCCGGGGGTGCCTCTCCAGTGACCCGGCCGTGCCGCGGGCCGCCCCGGCGCCCTCCGGCTACGGGCGCTGCGCTGTGCCCCGCAGGTTGCCGACCGACGGGTTCCTGCTCCTGGCGCTGCTGCTCTACGCGCCCGTGGGGCTCTGCCTGCTCGTCCTCCGCCTCTTCATCGGTGTGCACGTCTTCCTGGTCAGCTGCATCCTGCCCGACAGCGTCGTGCGGCGGTGCGTGAGCCCGGGGGGAAGGGGGGCAGCGTGCGGGCACCCGGTGGGGCTGGGGGGGGCGCCCGGGCTGGGGGCCTGAGCCATGGAGGCTGGACTTGGGCAGAGGTTTACAGGGAGCTGTGCTTCAAGAACATTTTGTCCCAGGGACCTATAAAGGCGCCTTCCTGCCAAGATCAAAGCTGGCAATTGCTCTTGTGTGCTCAAGGTTCGATCTGGAGCACGTGGATCGCTGCATGTCCTGCCTGGAGGCTGCGTGGTTTGCTGCCCCGTGGTGTGTGCTGGCAGCTTTTGGCTCCAGCTGCAGCCCCCTAACAACTCCTGGCCCATACACCTGCCACGCCATCACCGTTTTGTACCAGTATATGTTTCCAAATCACATAAGTTCCTAGGTTCTTGTTCGTAGGGTGTTCTGAGACAGCTGTTGCTCAGACTGTGGGACTTGAGGAAACCCTTTTTCTCCGCTGTAGGTTTATTGTACGTGTGATGTGCTCAGTGCTGGGATTGTTTGTGCAGCAAAGCGATCCCCGGCTTCGGGACGCCAACGTGCAGGTGTACATTGCCAACCACGTGACACAATTCGATCACAACGTCATCAACCTCCTGACCTCATGTAACACGGTGAGCAACACAGAGCCAGGGCACGGTGGGTCTGGAAACATCTCTCTGCATGAGAAGTGCGCAGAGAGCTGTTTCAGAATTCAGGTATTGCCCTGAGCTTTTTGAGTTCTTGTGGGTTAACCTAGGATTGTTTGAGTCATGACTCTTTTTATTTCCTGAGGCTTGGTTTCATGCTTGCATGACAAACTGAAACAAGGTGAGGGTAACAGGGGTTGGTGAGGGTTACAGTGGGGAGGGATTTTGTTGAGACTGGATATTTTCTAGCATCTGTATCTTTTCGTGGCCCTTGGGATAGGTGATGTCCAAAGCAGGGTTGGCTGTGGGCTTTTCTCACAGCGCTGGGTACCGTGTCTGGGTGCCGCCTGCCCTGCACGGGCAACAACAAGAGGAGCTGCGCCCAAGCAGTGTGCTCGGGTTGTGTTGGGCTGGCAGCTGTGTAACTTTCCCTGCATTCTTACAAAGTTTCCTGTGTATGGAGTTCCTGAATCTGTAGGCCTCAAATGTGTCTGGGAGTTAACTAGTATAATATGTCCTGAATGGCAGTAGATTGGGTCCTTACCTGGAGAAAAGTAACTCTTGGAAGCAGTGTATCCTTCGCCAAGCGTATTGGGAGCTCCTAAAGAAAATGTGGAGAACGTGGCCGTCACCCAGGGCGGGGAGCAGTTTGTTTCTCAGATGGATGGGATATGATCTGAACTGAGGATCGGGAATTAAAATTCCCAGGAAATGGGCCAGAGCTGTCCACTGAAACCTGGTGGTAGCACATTCTCTGCTGCTAGCATTTTTAGCATATAGGTTGCTCCCTCAGCCCCCAGAGGCATTTTTACTAATAAGCAGAAGCTTCATCTCCCGTTATCACCTGAGAAAGTAGGCCTTGAAGGGAGGACAGGGTGTCATTTCTTCCTTGTTCTTATCTTTTCCCACAGCCTGCGTTGAATGGTGCTCCTGGCTTCATCTGCTGGTCACGGGGGTTCATGGAGTTGGGAGTGACAGGCAGCCGGGCAGAGCTGGTGGATTCCCTGAAGGCGTATTCATCACACAGAGAGAACCCGCCGCTGCTGCTCTTCCCCGAGGAGGCTGCCACCAACGGCCGGGCCGGCTTGCTCCGCTTCAGGTGCTAGGAACGAGTGCTCCTGCAGCACCTGTCTTTGGGGTTCTTTCAGCTTCGGGGTTCACTGGCAGCTGTCCTCTTCCTTTTCAGCTCTTGGCCGTTCTCAATCTTGGACGTGGTGCAGCCAGTTGCCCTACAGGTTCAGAGGCCTTTGATCACCGTGGTGAGTCTGGTGGTGCTGGGCAAGGAGGAGTTCTGGCAGCTGTGTCAGGGTGTCCGTGGTGTCACTAACTTCGCTTCTGCTTTGAAGGCTGTGGGTAGCGCAGCCTGGCCTGGTTCCCTGTCATCCTGGGATGAGCTTCTCATGTTTGCAGTTTGCTTTTCAGCTGCCTTTTCTGGAGAACTTGAGCTAACTAAATCAACGTTCTTTTAGTTACGCTCAGTTTTGGTAGACATTCTTAGTGGCTTGGCTGTCTAACAATATGCTGTCTGGCTTCCATGACCATCGGTGTCTTACACCCTTTTCGTTAGTTCCCTTCTTTTAAAATGTTTTGAAAGAACTGTAGCCCCCCTAGAGACTGAGTGACGTACTGAAAGTTTTGCAAGGCTCTCCAAATCAGGTTCTTGAATTCATGTTTCCTAAGTGCAGATATGTAATGATGCAATGTTAGCTTCAGAAAAGTGGCAAAGTTCACAACGAGAGTACTAGTGCTGCTAAACTGACAGCAGTAAAACTGCTCTCATCTTATTTACAGTGAGATTTTGTTGATTTTCTTACTTCTTGATGTGGCTTATGGGCTTACTTGATTAAAACACCCGTTTTATGTTGGTTAGATGCTTTACTGGGTTTTCCATTTTCATCTTTTTAAGGTGGCAGGACGCACTAAATAGGTTTAAAGCCACTTGCCAGCAGGTCACAAAATGTCACTGCCCATAGCAAAACCTCAGCAGGCAGGTATTTTTCAAGTGAGATTCTGTTAGCCATTAGATCTTTGTCACATGCTATTTAGTGCTCCTGTCCACAGGAGCACGGTATTGAGATTCTTGCTGGCACAATTTCCTTAGTGAATAACGAACGAGCTGGGTTACTGAGGCAATCCCAATATTACAAGTCTAACACAGCCGGTGGATGCACAAGAGGAGCAGCTGGTATAGTAAGGAAAATGGTGTTAGCTGCACACGTGCAATGGTGACAACTGCTGCTACAGTAGTCTGCAAAGCTCTGGTAACCCTGCTGCCAAGAAAGTGGGGCTAGAGGGAGCTCAGGAAGGCTGTAAGCATGGTGCACAATCCACAGACCAGGATTTGAAGGCATCCAGCTTAATCAGCTTATCGGAGATAAGGCAGAGAGATTGAGGATAGCTGCTTGCACAGTGGAGAAGTTGCTTAAGAGTGAGAATTTTTTTTTTTTGTCAAAACACAGCAGCAATCTTTGCAGCTGCTGAAACTAGGTACTGTTAATACACAAGTTCAATTTGGGATTAAGATGTGGTTTTCTAACAGTGATGATACTTTAAATTTTTGAATGACTGCTCCAGTGAGGTGGGACAGATGCCCTGTCCTGGGTTGTTTGTGATGAATATGTTGTCTTGTTATGGTTTTGATCCCTCTAAGAAGTTCTGTGAAATGTGACAAGTTGTAGGGAAATCTTTAAATTTGTCTGTCCGTCTTCTTCCTTCATGAATGTTAGGGAGAACAACACGCACACAACTGCTTATTTGGTTGAAGGTGCTGCTTATAATCATTTCTTGGCTCAGACTTTTACCTTCAGAAGCGATGTAGTATTTTTTGTCCTTCATACAAACTGGCGAAGTAAATCCCAGTGGATTTCTGATGTCATTTTAAATCATCAGTAATTTCTCAGGACTGGAGATGGGATCCTTTGGATGGTTTGATCAGTGCTTTACAGAAAGCTTGCTTAGATACTTATCTGATACATAAGTATATAGGCACATGGACGCCAGTCTGAGCAAACGCCCAAGGCAGGGTTTAAGAAAGAATTTTCTCTAGCTGCAGTTGGCTGGAACCTTGAAGGGAGGTGTCGCTCTGTGGCACACAGCAGTGTTACTCTGAAGACTGGCTCTTGGGATCACTATAAGGCTTCTGATTTCAGGCTTCTTAAATCTCAAATCTGTTTACTCAGGAGATTAATTCTTTATTTTCCCCTTGGTGGCTGTGGTTTCTGAGCTTCTCTCATTTATAGCACCTTTTCCAGGCTGTTGAATAAACCAGGTGCAAGGCCTGTCTTGGTGCTATGATGCTTTGGTCCAGGATGAGGTCACAGGCAGAAGAAGCCAAGGGAGCTACGTTATGGGCTATAGATTTTGAGGTGTTGTTTTCACCAGCTTGTGGAAAGTTTGGTCACCTGCAGGATAAAAGTAACCAACTACAGAAATCCTAGAAACAGCGTCCATTTGATAGCAAATTCATTAAAATCATTGAAAAGTTTAGGTTGGAAGGATTCTCTGGAGCTCTTCAGTTTGGCTGTGCGCTCACAGTCAGACCAGCTTCTGAGTCTGAGCAGGCTGGGAAGGGCGGAGAGCCCTCTGCTACCGTGCACCTGTGACACTGCTCAGCCACTCTCTTCTGGCAGGCATCGCGGTCCTTCTTAGGAAAAAGGTTATTTACTACTTTTCAGAAATAGGAAGACAGTAATGAATTACAGCTTGCCTTTAATGATTTATCTTCAAAGAGAAGAGTCGTTCTTAAAACTCCACAATGCAAATTGCAAATGGAGAGAGAGAGCTTATGGGAGCTGAGGCATTACGCGGGCTGTTCCCATCAGCGTGTGATTCCCGTCGTGATTCTAAGGGAGCGTTAACAGGTCTTAAAGCATTGTCAGTCCTTTCTAAGGGCACGGTCCTGTAGAGAATGTGGGGATATTGAGGGAAAATCTTGCTGTCCTAGTGGGAGGAAAAGATGACTTGGAGCAGTGAAAACTGACTCTCTTGCTCTGCCTGGCAAGAACTAATGAAGGTGAATCTGCCCTGGGGCTTGCTCACTGTGCTCTGGGTTTGTCCTTCTCTCTTGCCCACTCATCTGCATCTCTGCCCACGTATCCGTCCCCCACTGCCAGGCCTTAGCTCTGCTCTGCCCGCCTGCTTCCCCGAGGGAGACCTGAGTAGCTCATGTTTTGTGGGCCATAACCTCATTGTGCTCTTTTCCCCAGAGTGTGGCTGACTCCTCCTGGATTACAGAGCTGCTCTGGACCTTCTTTGTTCCCTTCACAGTTTATCAAGTAAGGTACTATCTCTCTCTCTGTCTTGCATTTGGGGCAGGGTTTAGGGTGGGCAGAGAGCCTGACTTTTTGCAACTGTAGTAAGAGGTCTTCTGGCATGCACTAACGTGCACCCTCATTGTAGTATCACAGCATGGCTTTGTCCAGCATTATTGTTCTGTGCCAGGTCCTTCCAGCCAGTTTCTGAAGTGCAGAGGGCTCTCAATTCCTGCTCTCAGTTGGTGAAGGAGACGAGTCTCACGGGGCTTTTATTTCAAGTTTGCTGGGTATATTTTTGAAGTTAGATCCTCTGCTGTAATTCACCCCCGGGCTGCTCAGGGTGTCCCATGGGCGACACCCTGCAGGCAGCTCTGTCCTCTAGCATCTGTCTCTTCCCTGCAATACCTTGTGAATTGCAGAGGTTGTTCAGACACAGTCCAGGCTCACCTGGGCCCCCGACAGGTCTGATTAGCTTTGGTGTAATAAGGGTCTGGAGGCAGCTGAAGGGGCTTGGAGTTGAATTCTTTCCGGTGTGCACTTAGGGGTTGGGGTATTGCGGTAAAGAGCAGTCTTTAACGTTTCTTCAGTAAAGAAAAGCCAGCTGCATCGGGCTCGTGTCTTGCTGATGTGCTTTCTACTCCCATGTAAATGGCAGCATCTCCTCGTTTGGGGCCTTTCCGGGAACGTTATTAGGAGATAACTTGCATGTTCTGCTTGAGCGTTAAGATCAGATGAGCCGGTTTTGTCCTCTGGGCCATGCCTTGCCCCTAATGCTAGTGGTAAAGCTTGACACTCGTCTCGTGGGAGGAGAGGTGGGGTGAGCAGGGAGAGCTGAGGTGGGGATTGCACCGTTGGTCCCAGATGGGGCTGGCTCCCCCAGCAACCCGTGAGGCAGTCAGCCCAGTGCTGTTGTCCCCATTCAGGTGGATGCCGTCTGTCCCCAGACGAGCTGAAGAACTGAGTGAGGATTTTGCGCTCCGAGTTCAGGAGGTAGGAGGATGACGTGGGAGAGGGATGTGTAGGGCTACTGCAATTTGGGATGGTCACAGAGGAGAGTGGGGTGTAAGGAGAGTTGCAAAGGGTGTTTCTGGATGGGTGTTATTTGTGATGGGGACTCTGGCCTGTATTTATCACCCCTTAATAATTATTCAGTTTCCATGGCCTACTTGCCATCCCCTGTTTATCCTTTCTGCCAGTTATCAAGGGTCTCCCTATGTAGCTCAAACCTCTCATGCTAAGATCTCCCCTTTCATAATATCACAAATCAAACAAACAGTGGTTGTTTCTCCACCTTTCCCTTTAGTGCTGGGTACATCATAACTCCTGTACCAAAGATCTCGAATCTCCATGTCAGCCTGTTTTGGCAGGATGATATTGCATACTCCTGGTCCTTCATGTGCTCCATGCAACACTGAAATGCATCACTGAGGACCTGGAGAAATCAATTCCCTGTCCTCTCCCCCCTCAGTGTGGCTCCAAGCAGGCCTGTACATCTGACACTCCCTGCAGGATGAGAGTGCCTGGGTGATGCATGTTGTGTGCCGTGTACATGTGACTCTTCTCTACATTTCTGCAGCTCTTGGCCATGGAGCTGGGTGTGGTATCCACACGGCTCACTGCAGCAGATAAAGCTGAACACATGAAGAGGCTGAGACACACGTCGCTTCTCCGCTTTGCCCCAGGTGGGTGTCCAGGCTGTGGAATGGCCGCTTAGGCTCTGCCTTTGGGGAAGCCTCAGACTGCTCTCGGTTACGGACGCGTGGTGGGAGAGGAGAAGAGGTGTGACATCCTCCAGGGGACGGGGGTAGCTGCGTGCTCTGGGCTGTGGGTGTCGCTAGCTGTAAGGAGAGGATCACCGCTCCTCAGCACAGATGTGGTGGTGGTGTGCAGGAGGTCCTGCTTGCTTACCACCCCCATACGTAGGGGCAGTGGAGCTGGTGCAACTTGAAGGCTGTGTACCTATAGGCTGCCTTCTTGTGCCCACTCTTCTTTCTCTTGCAGCCTCGAGCCAGCCTCTGGCAGCCAGGCCCAGGATGCCTTCCAGCCTGCCTGGAGTTGGGTCCTTTGCTCCTGAGGATGTGCGGATCACAGCAATGGCTCAGCGGGTCAAGGAGGTGCTGCCTCATGTGCCTCTGGATGTCATCAGGACAGACCTGGGTAAGCACAGGCCTAGGGTGTTAGCAGGAACAGATCACCTTCCATGCCACGTCTCCATGATACCTGAGAGCAGAAACCCTTGTCCCTGCTGCACTGTGGAGCATGATGGCAGCAAGAGCACGCTACAGTCTGGAAACTCGGCTTCCTATCTGACACATCCTCTGTGTTCCTACAGCCCAAACGAACTGTGTGGATACCACCATTGCCAACTTGCTGGAGGGGAGAGTGCCCTTCTTCCCTGAAAGTGAGGCTGGTGCTGACCTGCCTGCTCCGTCTACCTCCCAGGCTGCAGCTGCTTCTGGCATCCAGGGCTCCGTAGCTGTGCCTACTTCCAAGGTACTTTTGGTGGTTGTAATGCTTCCCCCGCTCTGATGGCTTGCAGCCAGAGCACAATGGCCTGTTTGGAACTAGCCATGATGTCAGGGGAACCGAGCACTTTAAATTGGAGACCAAACTGGCATGCTGGATGCTTACAGGGCCAATAAGGAGATTTCCTGGCTTTGACCGTCTCCTGATGACTCTTGTGTTTTCTGTTCCAGCCAGCTACAAAGCAATTCGCAAAGTCCCCGGTGGAGCGGCACCTGTCCTTGCAGGAGCGGAAGCGAGCGCTGTACGACTATGCCAGGAGGTGAGCATCGCCCCCCTGCCCCACCTGTCCCCAGGAGGGTATGCCCCAAGCAAGGCTCGGCCTTTGCTGCGCCAAGGGACCTGTTCTCTGGATCGAGGCGGGGTGGGGCTGGGGCAGTGAACCATGCTGAAGGACAGAGGAGGCCGGTGTTTGCCTGCTTCACCTCTTCCAAGCGTGTAGCCCATTGTTGTTCCTGGGAAACACCGGGTCTCCTGCACTGTCACCGGGCTTCTGGTTGTGGGGACTGGGTGGGATAGAAGCTGGTTGCCAGAAACACGGTTTCTGAGGAATGAGGCTTAGCAAAAAAAAAAAAAGGGGAGGGGGATTTTGTTCTTTGGTGTAACATTTGACTGATAGAAGTCATTGTGAGACTATAGATTTTGTTGAAAATAGTATTGATGCTGTGGAATGCTCGTTTTAGAAAAGAAGCTTGCTGTTTGGCAACAGGGATAGTGTAATCAGTCTTAGCATAGCTGGAGAATACTAACAGAGACCAGGGAGGGAGTCTGACCTCTGTGCGTGGTCTGGATGAGGCAAGTACTGGGATGAGTGTCCAATTCTGGTGTGTGGTACTTTTTTTAGAAAAGATACTGAAAATTCAGGATAAGTTTGGAGAGGAGCCACAAAATAATACGAGGGGAAGTGAAGTCTGTTACGTTTACTGTAAATGAGATGGCTCACTGTGTGTAATTATCTTTCTGGGTGAAGGAATCAGGCTCTTTAATCTGGCAGAGAAAAGCAGAATCGTACCTAATGCTTAGAAGTTGTAGGCTTATTTCTGAGAAGGAAATCTGTAATCAGTGGAATAAGCTTCCAGCAGAACCAATGGTTTCCTGGTGTCTAGGTGTCTCCAGGTGAGCCTGGCTGACTCCTTAGCAGATGGTAGAGATAACAGCCTTTGGTTCAGGCCGGAGTGATAAAAGGCCAACTGCTACAAGGGGAGGTTCCTGATCAGTAGGGTCTTGCAGTGAAGGGGAGATTCTGTCTGGTGCCGAGCTCGGGTGTAGCACTGAGCTTTGCTCCAGAGTGCTCGTGAGCAGATTCTGAAGACTCGGGGATCAGTTTAACCGTGGAGATCCTATGGCTTTACGACACTGTCAGTTTCTCCCTACTAGGGCTAGTTGAGGAAATCCCGGTGGCTGGATGTTGAAGCTAGGCAAATTCCAAGTGTCTGTATTGAAAGGGCTGGTCCTACACAACCGCGGGTAGCTCATTGTCAGCAGGAATTTAGAGGTCTGTTCTTCTGAAAGATCCCTTTAATTCAGGGCTCTTACAGTAGCCCTGTGGCTGCTCTAACAGAAGGTGGCTGTTCTGCAGAAGGTTACGCTCTGCCTTCGGAGTTAGGGAGTTACAGAAGGGTTGGGGTTGGGGCAGGGGCCTCCGGAGGTCTCCTGTTCCTGGTGCCTGCTCAGGCTGCCTCACCTGGAGCCTTGCCCAGGACCATGTCCAGGAAGGGGGGGGCACAGCGGGAGCCGGGCGGGCAGCCGGGCAGAGTGGGAGGACGTGCGGCTGGGGCCCTGCGGAGCCCCGAGGGCTCCCCTGCCCGGCGCTGGTCTGTCCGTGCTGCTGCCGGGGTGGGCGGGGGGCGCTGCCCGGCGTTGTGCGGGGGTCCCGCGGTGCGACCCGCCCTGCCCCGCCCTGCCCTGCCCCGGGGCCGCCCCCGGCCCCCCGCCGGTTGCTGCGCGGAGCCTCCCGGCGGCGGGGGGGCCGCGGGCCGGGGCCGGTCCCGGGGGTCCCTGACCGCGCTTTCCCCGCAGGAGGTTCGCCGAGAAGCACGGCGCGGCGCGGGCCGGCGGCAGCCCCTGAGCGGAGCGGACGGGACCGGACCGGGACCGGCACCGGGACCGGCGGCGGCGGCGGCGCGGGGCTGGGGGGCGCGGCCCGGCCCGGGAGGGGCCGATCCCGGCGCGGCGGGGCCGGGTGGCGGCAGCAGCAATAAAACGGCGCAGGAAGCAAACGGCGGCGTGCGGGGACGGGAGGGGAGGGGCGGGGCCGGGGGCGGGGCGCGGGGCTCCGTGCAGCTCTGCACGCGCCGCGGCCGTCACCCGCCGCACGTAGGCGCCGCTTAAAGGGGCGATGCGGAGCGCGAGGCCGCCCTCAGCGCGGACCCAGCGGGTGGGACCCACAGGGCGGAGCCGGCGCCCTTTTAACGCGCGGGCTCCCGGTGCCGGTGGCTCTATTTACATGGGGGGGGCGTCACGTGACCGGCGGAGCCGCGGGGCCGGTGGCGGCGGGGGCTGAGCGCGGCGGGGACCCGCGGGGCCATGGCGGACGGCGGTGCGCGGGGGGCGGCGGGCGGGGGGCGCGGCTCGGGGGGCGGGGGGGGGTCCCGAGCCGGCGGGGTGGTCCCGAGCCCAGCGCGGGGGGCGCGGGCGGTCGGGAGGGGGGCGCGGGGCGGGTGCTGGGGGGCGCGGGGCGGGGCGGGGGGCGGCGGCCCGGGGGTGCCGGGCGGGGGTCCGGGGTCTGGGGTCCGGGGTTCGGGGTCCGGGGTCCGGGCGCGGCGCTGACGGCTGCCCGCAGGCTCCTGGGTGCAGCTGCGGAGCGGCCCGGGGGGCGCCGACCCCGCGCCCTCCTCGTGCCACGCCGACGTGGAGCGGCTGCTGCTGGAGGCGCAGCTGGAGCCCGACGGCAGCGACGGGTGAGTGCCGGGCGGGCGGCGGGGCCGGGGCCGGGGGGCGCCCGGTGACCGGCGGGCTGTGTCCGCAGAGCCCCGACGGCGCCGAGTCCCCCCGGCCCGCGGCGAGGAAGGAGCAGGGCGGGTGGGTGAGCGGCCCCCTCCCCGCGGCAGGGCCCCCCCGGGCCGCCCGCAGCCCCTGCCGGGGACGGAGCCGGCCGCCCGCGCCCAGCGGGACGCACCGGAGGACACCGAGCGGACGGGGCGACGCCTGCCCGCAGCCCTCGGCCGGGGCTGTGCCCGCTGCCCCGAGCAGCTGCCCGCGAGGTAAGGCCCGGCCGTGCCCCGCGCCCTCCCGCTGCGCCTGCCCCTCCTGCGCAGCCCCTAAGCTCGCTCTTCCCAGGGACTTTGCCTTCGTGTGCTCCCCGCAGCCGGTGCTGTGGAGCCTGCCGGGAGGGGCGGTGGGCAGGAAGAAGAGGCTGTTCAGTTCCGAGCTGCTGCTGCTCTTCATCCCCTCGCTGCTGCTCAGCCACGTGCTGACGCTGGGACTGGGGTGAGTCTGCCAGGGCCAGAACCGACCCCCGGGTGCTGGCGGGGCGCAGCGCTGCTCTGCTGCTGGGGCCTCTGGCTGCCCTGGCAGGAGGCTGTCGCCCTGGGAGGGGAGGAACTCGGAACTCTCCTGCTCCTCCTTGGGAGCTCTCCCACTGCTTTTCCCAGCAGCTGCAGTCATCTTTGTGGCTGCTGCCTTCACGCCTCGCAGCCGGGCTCTCCCCAGGCAGGTTCCTTACAGTCTCTGTCTCCCATCAGGATCTACATTGGGAAGCGGCTGGCAGCCTCCTCAGCAAACCCGCTGTGAGGAGCCGGGCTCGGCGAGGGACAGGCGGCTCGGTCGCTCTGGTCAGCACGGAGGGAGCCCCGGTGCAGCCCCGCTGCTCACAGACGTCGTGTTGGTGGCACGAGGCGCCGTCTCTCCGTGCCCCTTCTTTACCCTGGCCTGGGGAGCCAGTCCGTGCCCTCCTTCGTAGCCAGGAACCCGCTGATGGCAGCTTCCTGCTGCAGGCAGCCCCGTCCCTCCCCGTCCCCTCGGTGTGGGTCTGGGTTCCTGCTGTTTAGTACAGAAGACTGTAAACGTGGCTCCTGAGCCTGCAGCGCCAGGGGGAAATAAAAAGCCTGGTGCAGCTCCGCAGGCAGAGTGGCGAGCTGGTTGTCCCTGCGCGAGACCTGGCACAGCCCCGCTGCTGAGAACGGGAGCCCCAGCACGTGGGGCTGCTTTGGGCTCTCCTCGCCACGAGGCCCGGCTCTGGAGCACGGTGTGATGCTGGGGCCCTGGGGGCAGGGACGAGTGCTGCAACTGTGCGCTTGGGTTTTGATGAACACTGCAGGGCACCTGGCTGACGAGTGGGTCCTTTATTAGTGGGCTCATGGCTGCAGCCTGCCTGCAGCAGGGAGGCAGGGGCCGTGCCGCTGGCCGCAGCGGTGCTAGCTCAGCACAGGTGGGGTTGTGAGGCTGGATACCAGCAGGGGAGATGGCACTGCACAGGGTACGGCGCTGCCCAGGCTGTGCTCACCGACCTGGCTGGCTCCTGTGCGATCATGGCCAGGGCCAGAAGCGTCCATCCCAGTGCTGTGGGATGGGGGAGGCAGCAGAGGAAGGGTATGGGGGGGCTCAGCACGGGCTGGCAGGGAGCTTTCCGGCTCGCTCTGTGCCAGGGTGGTGGCGGTGGTGGGATGGCAGTCCTCTTGGCAGCCTGCAGGCAGGGCACTGGGGGGCTGTGTGGGGGAGGCAGCAGGGCCGGGCCAGGTCTGAAGCAGAGCAGTGGTCGGGGGGTCCCAGCTGGGGTCCCAGGCCGAGGGCAGCAGCACCTCGGGGTGCACGGGGTGTCCCGGAGCCACACGGGTGCTTCTGGTGCGAGCGCTGTGGGAGAGGCAGGGGGGCGGCCGGGGCAGGGCCCTGTGCTCCAGCCGCCACGGGCAGGGCAGGGACGGCTCAGAGCTGTGACAGCCGCTTGGACTTCGGTGGTGGCGGCGGGGGCGACTTCAGCCCCCTGCTTCCATCGGCTGTTGGTGACGGCAGCGCCTGCGAGCAGAGGGGGTGGTTACGGGGGGCAGGAGCCAGGCCGGGCCGGGGCAGGGCCGTGCGGTACCTTCCCCCCGCTGGCAGCATCGCTCTGCTCCAGGAAGGCCTCGTACACCGTGGGGCTGATCCTGCGGGGCAGCGGCGGGGCCTTGCTCGCGCTCTTCACGCGGCCGCCGAAGCCCGTGGGGGACGGGGACAGCGCTGTGGAGGAAGGAAGGCAGGCTGGGGAGTGCGGCCAGTACAGCACTAGGGGGGCCTGGGCCTGCTCCGGGGGCCCTGGGCTGCCCGTGGCCACCCCTGGGAGCGAGGGCCCAGTGCTGAGGGGCTGGGGCTGCAGCCCTGCTCTCAGGGGTTGGACGTCAACGGGGCTGTGGGGCTGGGGAGGTGCCCCCCGGCTGCAGGGGATGGGAAGGCTGCGGGGCTGGGGGTACCTGCGGGGCTGGGGTACCTGCGGGGCTGGGGGTACCTGCGGGGCTGGGGTACCTGCGGTGCTGGGCTCGCGGCTCGGTGGCGGCTGTTTCCCATCGCAGCTGCCCAAGCTGCTCTCGCTCATGTTGCGGGACAGTCTCCGCTTGTCATCCTGGGGCAGGAGAGGGGGCTCAGTGCCCGGGGGGCAGGACCACGGCCCAGGAGCGCAGGAGCCTCTGGCAGGGCACGATGCTCCCCAGCCCCCCGTCTGCAGGGCTCTGGGCCCCGCGCACCTCCAGCTCTGCCCCTGCTCCCCTCCGTCAGCCCGGAGCGAGCAGGGAGGCTGCAGGGCTGTGCCGGGCACCATCACCTTGGGCTCTGGCAGCTCCGGGACAGACAGGCGCGTCTCCTGCCGCCAGTACCCAAAGAAGGTGCTGGAGCGGTTCTCCTTGCGCTCGCTCCTGCGGTCCTCGCCCTCGGCAGTGCGTGGGGCAGGCTTTGGGGTTGGGGGTGCCTCCGTGCTGCAGAGAGACCGGGGTTGGTGAGCGGCCAGTGCAGGGGAGTGGGAGCGGGGCCGTGCTGCTCACCAGCCGGGCCACAACCAGGCACGGCCGCCCTGAGCCAGGCACCAGCGCCGACCCTGGCAGAGCTCAGCAGCGGGGTGGGACCTCAGTGTTGAGGTGGGACCAAGAGGGAGAGGCACGGATGGCTCAGGGACAGCGGTGTCCAGGTGAGCTGGGAGGGCTGCATGTGGTGTGTCTGCTCTGTGTCCTCCCGATGGGATGGGGGTGGCGTGGTGGGATGGGCCCCCAAGATGTGGCTCGGCATAAAGCACCAGGGAGGGAAGCTGGGCGGGCACTGCGCTGGGGCAGGAGGGAGGGAAGCGCGTGGTGCCCCGGGGAGTGGGAATGGCTCAGGGCTGTGGGGGTGGCAGGGGGTAAGGCAGGGCCACCAGTGTTCCTCCCCAACACCGCACTCGCCTGTCTCCAGCGTGGCTCAGCCGGTCCCAGTCTGGTCCCCAGGCTGCAGAGCGGGGTCGCCCACTTCGCCGGTCCTCGAAGGAGATCTGAGAGCGCCGGGGGACCGAGAGCCAGGAGGGGTGAGGCACGGAGCCTCTCGCCCTTCTCGCCCCTCCTGGTTGCAGTGCTACCCAGCGGCAGTCGTCCCTGCTCCCAGGGCAGGCAGAGCCCCTGTGCTCCCACACGCACGCTGCCCCCAGCCCCGCTGCTGCTGCAGCTGTGGCCTTATCGGGCCCAACCCGCGGCCCCAAGACGTGGGGCACCTCCTGCAGCAAGCCCCTGCGGGTGCCACGCGCTGCCCTGGCACTCACCATCTCCCGCACGCCGTACTGGCTCTCCACCTTGGCCCGCAGCTGCACAAAGCACTGCTCCATGCGCTCGTGGAAGGGCCGCAAGTCCTCCGTCACCTTCCGCTTGTGGATCCGGATCCCCTCTGCCAACAGCGGGGTCTGCAGGAGAGGAGGGCGCGGGTCTGGCTGGGATCGTGGGGCTCCCCGGGCCAGGGCTGCTGGCGGGGTGCCACAGGCGGTACCTGCCAGGCGATCAGGTCCTTCAGCTTGTCGATGTTCCCCTGGTCCTCAGGGTGCTCCTTCAGGTATGACTCCTGGAAGAAGGCCTGCAGCGAGCCCCGCTCAGTCCCGCTGGTGGCTGGCACGGGCACAGGGTGGTGCTGGTGCCCTGTGCTCTGTCCCCACACCAAGAGCACCGGCCCGGGGCAGCACCCGCACGTCCTCAGTCCTCACCGTCTCGTACTTGGCGAAGCCGCCCATGACGGCGGGGTCCACGATGCCGTTGAGCAGCATGGAAAGGGGGTTGACAGGCAGGCTGGGGTCGTTCTGGTGCCGGTTGATCTCGCTCAGAATCTTCTCGTTTGTTTTCATCATGGTCTCGATGGCGTTCTCCAGCGGGGAGATGATGTTCTGCACCCAGGGGGGGTCAGCAGCTGCCTGGCCTGCAGCCTTGCCCTCCCCAGCCCCGGGGCTGCACATCTCACCCCGGGGGCCCCCAAGAAGCCCCTCGAGCCTCTGGCACTGAGCTGGTGGCCTGCAGGGACGCGCTGTGTGGGTCCCTGGCTCCGGGCTGCCTGCAGGGTTCTCACTGCAGGCGCGAGGCTGCAGCCCAGGTGGCAGCGTGGCAGGGGCAGCTCCGTGGGGAGGTTACGGAAACGTCGTTGGCACTGTGGGGGCCGCTGTGCAACAGCAGTGAGCACCCCGGGGACGCTGTGTGACAGCACTTGTGCTGCTGGAGAGGGGCTCTGCAGCAGAGCGGTGCCACAGCCCAGATTGCGTGCTGCTGCCTGCATTCACTGCCGCAGCACCCGGACCCCTGGGCTTTGGGCTCCCCCCCCCCACTCTGACAGAGGGGTAAAAGCCACGAGCGGAGCCGCTGGCTGGGCAGGGGGCAGCCCGGGAAAGGGGTGCCTGGGGATGGCCCCGCTCCCCTCGCAGCCCCCTCCTCACCGTGGTAGTGGTGGTCACCACGAACCAGCGCAGGATGCCAGGCAGGGGGTAGGCTGTCACGAAGGTCGTCCGCTCAATCCACATGTTCTGCAGGCAGGGCAGCAGTCACCGCACCGCCCCGCTCCCCGTCACCCCAGGGTGCCCCCGGCCACCCCACGGGGTGGGGGGCTCCCACACGGGGCTGCCGCCTTCCCCATCCCAGGACCAGAGCCCCCTGTCCCTCTGCATCCCCTTGAGACCTGGCTCCTCTCAGGGCCCCTGCAGCTCTGTCTTTCCCCCCGTCCTGGGGTCCCGGCAGCCCCTGGAAGCACTCACTGCAAATTCGTTGTCTGGATCCTTTGGGCCTTTCTTGAAGGGCCGCGAGTAGCTGAACTTCTGGACGTGGTTGGCCTTGTAGAAGCTGCAGAGGAGGGAAGGGACAGGGCACAGAGACGTGTGCAGGGGAAGACGTCCCCGTGGTGTCCCACACCAGGTGGTGAACCCGTCCCTGCCGGGGGACTCACTTGGTGATCTGCTCCGGGATGCTCCTGTCCTTGAACCGGACCTTGGCTTCCTCCACCGGCTGCACGGTGAAGCACTGGATGTCTGCGGGAGTGAAGGAGCCTCAAGCACCAAGGGGCTGGGGGCTGCAGGGGAGAGGGGATGGGGGGTGTGCGGGAGGTGCTGCGGGACCCGTGTGGGGATGAGGGCCCCTGGGAGCCGCCCGCCCTGCCCGTGCCCACGCTGCCAGGATACACTGCCCCGGGGAGCCAGTGATGTCGGGGCCGGGCGGAGATGTGGTCTGCAGCTTCTCAGCGTTGGGGAAGGGGCTCAGCAGCCGCATCTCAAAGTCCTCCCGGCGCTCGTACTCCTTGCCCCGGTAAATGAAGACTTTGTTCTGTGGGAGGAAGGGCAGTCGGTCCCGGCACGCTGTGAGTGGGGCCGGGGGCCCTCCTGTGCTCGGGCTGCAGTGAGCGCCGATGTACACAGGGCGGGTGCAAGTACCAGCAAGGCTGAGCCTCCAACCGAGGGGGAAACCCCTTCTTGGAAAGAAAATCCCCTAGCCCAACAGCTGGAGAAAAATGGAATTAAAGGGTAGCTGGCTCTGGCAGCTGGGGCTCTGGAGGGAAGCTCTTTGCTCAGGTGCACAGTGACCAGGTCTGCAGCCAGTGGATACAGAAACCCACCCAGGAGGCAGCAAGGAGACCTTGGAAATGGGGTTGACCTTGTGAAAAATGATGCAGCTCTT